CGGAATGCATCTCGCTTTGATTTCTCGTCAGAATAGTGTTATACTTTTTCCTTTTCGTTGTATAAGGAATTTAATGTCTGCATTAGGATTTCACTCTTTTTATATTCTTATGTAAAACATGATTAGAATAAGCAATATTTAATGTAACAAGTACCACAGGGTCGATTTTTCTTCCAGGGTTTTCGATATCACAAACTTGTTAAAACTTTTACTAAATTTTATCATCGGTACTAACAAAAATTAATCTAATGTGTCATGAGTTTGTTTGTCGCTATTGCCTTATTGTAAACTAGTTTATTCATGTTATTTGAAGTCTCATAACATCAGCTCAATAGTCAGTGTTTTAGAACTGACCTAGTATATAGCAAACCTTTCGGTAATTCGGAACCCAAGAGTTGGCTGGGGTATATTAATATTTCCATTACTAGACGTCTCCAGCTCTGACAGTAAACCCTTTTATTGGGGTTACCGTTTAGCGGTGCAGAATGTATAAATAACCAGTCACGTCAAGTCAAAATGGAGACATTAAATCAGATGCATAGTGTACAGTTGTTGCCACGCTCTTTACACATTAAGTTATAGAGAAAGTCCAAATAACTGTCCATTCCTGGGAAATAATGGAGCGAGGCCCGTAGGGCCGACGCCCATTATTTCCACGGAATGGACAGTTTTTTCGCTAACTTAAAATACACCTTAAATATCAAGAACGAATCTTTAGATCAGTGTATTTGAAAGAATTCTATTTCATTTTGTAATGGTTTTCTTTTCATTTTCCCCGTGGTGTACCCAATAATCCACAGGCAAAATTTAAGATCAAGCTGACCATCTCCTCACTTAACGAAATATTTATGAACAATAGAATAATTACTTTAAAAAGATCTTGAATAAAGTTCATCCAGATTTATGTTTTAAGTCATTGGATAGGCACGTCTCCCTTGTGTTGGGATTAAAAGGATATGTATTTGTGTCTTTAAGTGGTATTTTGGGTGAAAGAAAAAACTAATATTTATGCATATATGTTAATGGATTATGTGTTTTTTTCGTTTGATAAATCTTGGATGTAGAATCGTTTGAGAGAAACGACAAGGTACAACTAGAATAAATTTCCAGGTAAGTTACACTCTAAAAGAGGGACGAAAGATACCAGAGGGACAGTCAAACTCATAGATCGAAAACAAACTGACAACGCCATGGCCAAAAATAAAAAGACAAACAGACAAATAATAGTACAAATGACACAACATAGAAAACTAAAGACTAAGCAACACGAACCCAACCAAAAACTAAGGGTGATCTCAGGTGCTCTAATATAGGTTATTTAACTAATAAGGGTGTGCTCGATTTGAAGTCATATCTGAAACAAAATATGATTCTATATTTCAAACCATTCTATTAGATCAAATAAAATTAAACAAGAAATTTCATGTTTCATGCATAATCCAACAATTTGTTTCCGCTCCCTTTGCTCATAACAACGAGAGAAAAATGTTATGCATGGTTTAGAGTCTTAAATAGCAATACAAGCAAACTGAAAATATTTTTTTTCTATACTTCCGTATCATCAAAAAGGAGGAAAACAATTTTAAAAAAAAACCGCGTGATAAAAAACATTTCTAGATTGCGTTTTGTATGTCTTTAATTTAAGTTGAAAACTACTTTTTGATTTCATTTAAACATTGCAAGACTAACGCCGTCATTTGCACTGCAGATATAACTGCTTGCTACTGGACATATTACAACAGTAAAGGAATTCGATTGTGTAACGCGTTTCTTTTGAAAATTGAATAAAAATCCCGCCCAATTTCTAACGCAAGACTTTTTCAAATGTTATCCATACCCATCAAATTCTATTCAATAGTACCATATTCAAATTATAACAACGATAAATCAAATATTACACCGAATACGCCATTGTGACCATTTCAGTTTCTTGAACTATTTTTTCTATTAAACCACAATATTATTGTAGAAACTTCCTGAGTAATATTTCTTTTTTTGATGAACATCATTGAACAAACGATTTTTGCTGTACAAAATAACAAAAACGACACTAAATGTCAAGCAAATGATATCTTAAACGGTAACATTTAAAACAAATATGTAAGTGAAATATTTTTTGTTCTCTAATTTTCCTTATTGTTTAATGTTAATGTGTTCAATATTACAAAAGATTCTAACTGAGTGAACACATTTGATATTTTGTAGATGCATCGAAGAGGAATGGCACTCAATGGAAAATATTCGTTTTTAACCGTATGGATACTACCCGTGACAGAAATTTAGCCAAGATTTGCATCGGAAAATAAATTCTGGATAATGTTGTGGAATTTTAATGAAAACGGTACTATACATTATACGATGGAATTACGCCTCGCAAATAAAAGCTGTTTATTAATAATGAGATATTTGTTGTTCATTGTATTTTTACTAGGTCATCCCAATTTTTAAAAAAAATCCATTTAATATCAGCCATTTTAGTAAATTTTCATCTTCATTCAGTATCGCGTTATGTCCTTTAGAACTATTTCCATACGTGAACAACTTTTAAAGAAAGTGCCCATTAAATACCCAAAAGGCAAAACGTCCGGATGAATGAAGATGGACAATAGAAAATAAATCTCCATTCCTGAAAAATGATGGAGAGTTTGAACAAAAGATTTGCGTCACATGCGTATTTTTAAGAATCGTGCAACAACTATCGTAGATGTGAATAGACAACTTCGTGCAAAGCAAGGTTTCTGCCTTTAACCTTATTATCGTTACCTTTCAAGTGGATTCCAACTTTCAACCCACTATAGAACTAATCTGTTGTAATAATTGTTTATTTGTTCTAATTATCACTATTCCTGCGTTATGCAACTAGACTATAAGCAGGAAATATTCAATTACTCATTAATACGACGTTGATAAATTTCGAAATTGATAAAACAAAACAAAAAAAAAATAGTTTTTTAACTCCTTGAAATCCTGCAGCCTAAGGTGACCTAACATGGATTTGGGTTTTCTTCTCTTGTCCCGTATGATCATATAGCTTCTCACGTAAGCATGTAGATATATAAATCTTTGGCTTTCAAATTATTTTGGTTTGAGAGTCCATGATAAACCACAAATTCAGAAACGCTTGTCGGACGCACCAACATTATAAAGTGTTATTTTCATGTTTTGTACTTTTTTAATTTCCACAAAATATTTCAATTTTACAAAGTCTCAAATGCCGTATTCTAAATTGTGTCAATACATTCAGTTTTTTTAGCAATCAATTTGTACATTATGTATAAGGTATAGAAGATACAGAATGTTCCATATCGTTTACATATGATAATAAGATAGGGAGACTTGACTTGGGTTTAATGATATATATGTTTAAACTAGTAATGTGATTGTTAAAGTTTCATTTACGCTCTTAAACCGTACGTTATGTGAAACAGAATTGAAATAATATATTACTACTAAGCTTAGAAAATATTTATAAAATTGGTATATACTGTCGTGCCAGAGAGTTTCAAAAAAACAAAGAAAGTCTACGCCCTCCTAAAGCTTGAAAGAATTTACTTTTTCGTGCATTCTTTTGTACTGTATTAAAATAATATTTTCAGTGAAGCTGCGTTTTATGTCCGAGTCATCGATATTTAATGAAATCTAGTATTGAACATATTAGATGCTCACTTTTTAAAACATATAAATTAGTGTCTTACATTTTGTTGTTATCACAGTCGTTTATCATTTCTGTCGTGTTTGAATTTGCAATTGCTGTTGCGAAAATGTTATTCTCGATGTGTCTTTTTAGATTTTATTATTGAAATAGTAAAACTAACCCTTACATGCCTAATAAATAAATTGTGCATGTTTATAAAAGAAATGGATTCAGTCGTGAAATACCCTTCCCTGGTTTACAGATAAATAATATTTTTTTTAAATTTAGCAATATCAATGAAAATTCATTTTCTCACGCACAACTACATGAACTAGTCTGTGGGATGTCACAATTATAAAAATTAAAAATAAACTCGCAAACGCTGCAAAAACTATACCCATACATTTAAACCTTCTTACTTAAACATCGTAAAGTTCAAAGTCCTTTCTTAAAACATGTCTTCATACAAAAGCGTATATTGATTCGCATATCTGTCTTTATCGGTATTTAATTGTCGAAGAAACCATATATCAAATAGGCTTGTTTTGTTAAATATCTATATATATATATATATATTGATAATTTATTTGACATCAATTTAACATTGTGACAATTGTGAAGATAACACAATTAAAATTTATATAGTTTACAATAGTTACGGTTTGATAGTAACCTTATTATACGTATTTGTTAATACTTACATGTAGATAAAAAAATGAACAAAATATTTGGGGGTTTATTTTTTTGTTTTGTTTGGGTCTAATGTAACGGCTGTTCTAAAGGAAATTGTAATACGAGTAATGAGGTTGTTGTCCTTATTAAATGCTAGACTTATAAGTTGATACTTTTCCAATTACAAAAAAAGTAAAATAACGAAAATAATGAACTCCAACGAAAATTTAAAACGGAAAGCCCCTTATCAAATGGCAAAATTAAAAGCTCAAACACATCAAACGAATAAAAAACAACTGTATTATTCTTGACTTGGTAAATACATTTATTATGTAGAAAATGGTGGATTTAACCTGTTTTTATAGCTAGCGAAACCTCTCACTTGTATGACAGATGCATAGAATTCCATTATATTGACAACAACGGGTGAGCAAAACAAACAGACATACTAGGTAAAATGTCAAAAATTGGGATACAGCAGTCAACATTGTGTTATAGTCTCAATCACTATAAGTGTACCCCACACGTGTAGAGTTTATGATTTACTATCAGGACATGCTTGGTCCTGACCATGAAGAAATTACATAAGTAATATACGGAGATTGAAAAAAAATACTTAAAACAAATGTATCAATCAAATGCAAGAACAGTTGTAAAAAGAACATTGACATACAAATAAAAAAAAAATACTTACCTAGTGAACACGTTACATAGTTTTAGTGGCTCGTGGTGGGATCATTATTGATGTGTTTGTTCATTATACATCCGTTTTGAAATTTATATCCAAATTGTTTATTTTAACATCAATCTGGCAAATTTTATACTAAATTTGTGTTGTTCGTGTAGTAATTTTTTCCACTTTTTAGTTGCGTTTAATATTTACATTCGGAATCATCGATCAATAGTGGTAACGATTGTAAGTCATTTTATTGACGGTTAATATATTTAGAACAATTAGGTCGTAAATTTAAATACAAAATGTTCAAATACAATTTAATGATAAAACTTAAGTGCTGACAAACAAATAAAGGCATTTAAGCGACAATGTACGATAAGGCTTTTGTTTCGTCAACTTCAAAAGGTCGTCGTCAACTTCAAAAGGTCGGTCTGCGAGTAAAAAGATCTGAAAGATATCGTTATTAAAATCAATGTTCCGGTTTAGGATCAATAGAGTCCTCATTTTAATCACGGGGAGAAAATTTTAAAATACCAACAAACAATAGCGCGATTACCCATAAAGCTGTCGAATTGTCTCACATTGATGTACGAAGACGGGGACATTTTGTATTTACCTACCTATTCACCTTACAGTTATGTTTGATATTGTGATTGTTCGGGTAATACTGCAGAAGTCAATCATAAATATTTCAAACAACCAACACAGTGAGCACACTTATAGCATTTTGATAAAATTACCCCTTAAAATATAACGGCAGTACGGAATGAATGGATTTTCAGTCTCATTTTGAAATAGAAAATGAAAACAACATGCGTCATGCAAAAAAATAATTGTTAGTGAATTTTACTATTTTTTCAGTATCCTTGATGGGACTATCCCAATTTACCAGTGATTTAATACAGATATTTTTTATTTAGTCAATAACCTGATAAGCGATTCGCAGGCCTTCAAATATTTTAGACTCGAGCATCACTGGATTGACTGACGAAATGCGCATCTGGTGCAGTAACATTGGAACCATTTATGTTATTCTAGTCAAACTGAGAAATACAGAGTTAATTGTAAAAAACTACGTCAAAAATTAGTGAACTACTACCTGAACTAGGTTAGTCAGTCGGTCCAATTGTTCAACTTGGCATATCCTACAACAGCTATATTGGATATTAAAGTAACACTCATGGAAAAGCATTTTATTGAAGCGCTATTGGATTAAGACATACATATAAAACGGTTGCGACCAACATGTTTGAATGATGAAAAGAGTCTTGCCAATGAATAAGGTGAGCAGAAAACACCTTACAAAATATATTTATTTCGTCTTCCAGCCACTACTAAACTGTCTATTCTACTTACTATTACACTTGGTACAATCAAAAATCTGTGAATATTTGTATAAAATAATGTCTACAAAAATAGTGGAATTAATTACTTTTGGAGTGTCTAAAACTCGCTGGAAACACTTGATTAATTGAATGTTCATATTGGTGCTTTCGAATCTGTTCAAATTTTGATTTTTCTACCATACTTTGCCTCATAATCTCATTAAGAAAAAAGTCACATGCCCAATTAAATGGGCATTTAAAAAGTCAGATGCGAATATCTTTATATTCAAACTCTTTTAGGTATTTTTTTTGTAAAAACAAACAAAAGAACTATGTTTACTGAACCTACAGTTATATGATAACTGCACTTGATATCTTACTAGATAACATTTTTGTTCGCTTTGGATAATCCGTTTATCGCCAAGTTATCGAAATCCGATGGAGCTTAACTGTGTACCACGTACTGCGGACCTGTATCTGTATTGTTACGAATTACAATTCATGACTAAAATCAGCAAAGGCCCATCGAAACAACATCTGATATGAAAATTTAATAACACTTTTTATATATTTTGATGATATTTGGCTCTCCAAAATGATGCTGTTTTAATTAAGATATGTATTTTTCATCAATTCATTCATCATTTATATGGTATGTTTAAGGTAAATAAATTCGTACTTATGTGTTGTTATTTTCTTTTTTCAATTTATAAATGAAATCAATGTTATCAAGGTTATTACGATTATTACTTTTAAGCTTAATATGAACATTTCTGTCTGAAATAAAAATTAAAACAAATTGGTAAGATGAATTGCAAGGGTTGTATAAAAAAGGTAGGTAAAATTTGAGTTGATGATGTTAAGATTTTAACTTTAAAGCTTTGCATACGCAATTAATACTGAAATAAAATTTATTAAATTTAAACGAAATGTTTAAAAAGACATCACAAATGATCTCCGCACTCGCACTCATAAAATTTCTAATAAAATAAAAGTACTTATAACTAAATACATATATCATATAAAGACTTGAACTTGTAAGCTTTAATATATCATTTAATCTGAACTAAAAGAGAAAATTGCATTGGTTGTAAAAATAAGACACAAAAACAAAACATCGGCCCACTCATACATTATGACGACTTCTGAGATTTATCTTGATGAACTGACTTTAAATAAAGCTAATACTAACAATGAACACTGCCCTTTCCTTGATCTTAATATCTATATCTTAAACGGGATCCTAAATACTAAAATTTACAATAAAGTAGATTTTTGTTTTCATTTCCTATTGTTAATTATCCCTTTAAGATGGTGACATTCCCGTATCGATTCGCACGTATATGTAACAACGGTTTTAATTTTATTGAAAGAAATCTCTGTATTACTGAAAAAAATATTACAGCAGGGTTTTTGATATCATAAACTTGTCAAAATGTTTACTACATTTTATCATCGGTACAACGACATCATTTGTAAATAGAAAAAAAAACAGGCATACATCTTATTCGTTCATGTAATTTACATCCCATCTTTTATGGTAATATTCTATAAAAAGCACAAAATGTCGTCATTCACCTCAAAAGAAAAACCAAACCTCAACACAAACTTATTAAGAAGGGATATAGTTACAATAGTGTTGTCAAGTCATTAAAGATGGTTGTTTTTTTTTTGGAATTAATATTGATTCGCTCATAGAGTCGTTGCATCGGAAATAAACACATTTTTTTTTAAAACCAGTTGTTGGCATGCTACGGGTTATGTTCTTCTCGTATAATTTATTATGGCATGATACTAAGCCTACCCTCCCACGAACGGGAGGAAATGTGTTTGATTTTCATATGATGAAGACATAATCTTTCGATCAGTATAATTGAGGTCTGGAGGTAGCATGTCAGTAACTGCTAGTAGTCCTTTCTTAATTTATGTTTATCATTGCCATTTTGCTTAGTTTCGTCTGTTACCTATTCTAATATCTGACTCGGACTTATTTTGAACTGAGTTTTACTGTGTGTATTGCTGTGTGCTTGTTTATTTAACATTGGCTAGAGGAAAAGGGTGAGGGTTAACACTGCAACATTTTTGCGCCTGTCCCAAGTCATGAACCTCTGGCCTTTGTTAGTGTTGTGTGTGTGTTTTTTTTTTTTTTTTTTTTTAATTTTTATTTTGGTTCATTTATATGTTTTGGAGTTTAGTGTGGTGTCAATTTCCCTTATCAAGTATACATTATTGTTAAGGGGCCAGCTGAAGCCCGCCTCCCGGTACGGGATTTTCTCACTGCGTTGAAGACACATAAATCGCCTTGTGCTGTTTTCTACTCTTTGGTCGGGTTTTTATCGCATTGACACATTCCATGTTTCCATTCTCATTCTATAAAACTTAAAATAGATGGACGAAGTAATTTTCAGCAATTTGAGGATACAAAGGAAAGATGGATAACAAAAAAAGTAAAACGTCAATAAAAAGACATTGCATCAAGGATGCAAACAATGGAGAAAAGCCTAATTATTTTTACGCCTGAAGTGACAAAATTAATATGTATAAGAGCAAATGATAGGTTCCTTGTTTTAAAAACAGAACACACTCACAAATAAAGAAACACATAACAAAACATTTTCATTGATACAATTTCTGCCAAAAAGACCACATTGCGAGAAAATATCGGTTTTCACAAACCAGTATGAAAGATTTAAAGAACAAGAATACGGTCAATAATATGGAAGGGTTTGTTAAAAATATGATTAAAATTAAACAAACATTAGCAGATAGAAAACTGAGGCTGCGATAATAACAGCGTAGGAGGATGGTAGTTTGTTGGTCAAAGAAAATTTTAGGGAAGTAGAACATAAGTGTCTGGAACAACAATGACATTGGTTTCTTCACAGCTGTACGATACGATACATGTCAGGTCTGGCCGAATGTAAGACAACTATAAGGCTAGTCTGTGGCATTTAAGTTTTAACTTTTTAGGTAAAATTAGGTCAATTAAGTGTTTAAGTTTACATAAACTGCATTTTGATGTTGTTATGACAGATAGGCAAATACTAAGCTTGTTCTTCAAGACACGCCACACGTGTTGAAATGAACTATTCTATATTCATATATAAAAATCATTATAAAGAGGCTGTCAAAGTAGTGTTCTGGTTTCAGGGATCAAACGGTTGTTGTGGGTTTATTTCTTCAGAAGTAGTTATCATGTAATCAAAGAGTGAAATTGTTTTAATAGGAAATGTTTTTTTAGCAGAAATTCAGTAAAAATCTGATGACAAGCAAATAAAAACGCAGGAAAATATTATACTTTGACTGCTAGATAGTAATATAAGGTCAAGGGAAACTGTCAATTTATGATTGCCTTAATATGTGAAGTTAGCCAAGTAATGTTAATTCATTATTATTCGTTAAATATCAGTGTTTGTGGATTTTGTGATGAAAACCAGAAATTTAAATGTCCAACAAAGTACAAATATTCTGTAAACTTTTATGTTTATGATATGTTTCTTATGTCGTAACTACAATACCCTTCCCTTTTCACGAATGTGACCTACCGAATTAGACTTTTTACAGGATTTGTAATAACATAAGCAACACGACAATTTTCCAGTCAATCGGGATGATAAAGGTAAAGGGTTTCACAAACTAGTTTAATACATATCCCTGTGACAACGACAACTCGCCGAAGGTTGTCTCATGTTATATTTGGCAACATAAGCAACACGACGGGTGCCACATGTGGAGAAGGATCTGCTCACCCTTCCGGAGCACCTGAGATTACTCCCAGTTTTTGGTGGGGTTCGTGTTGCTTAGTCTTAAGTTTTCTATGTTGTGTCATCTGGACTATTATTTGTCTGTTTGTCTTTCTATTTTTGGCCATAGCGTTTTCAGTATGTTTCCGATCTATGAGTTTGACTGTCCCTCTGGTATCTTTCGTCCCTCTTTTATGCAGAGGTTGTTAC